GACTAATAGATTGAGTTGCATTCAATGTTAGTGATAACCAAGGAATAAATATAAATAAATATGAAGACTAAAAAGCTGCTGAAATTGGGCTTGTGATGCCATCTTCATCACTTATTGTCACTAAAAAATATTCCTTTTGGGCGTTTGCATGTCTGGATGGCCAACATGTGATTACCACGTCGCTCGCTGATGAGGTGTATGACGACGTGACGCTCAGTGGTTGGTTTTCCAAACATGCGACATATGAACGGAATATTATCTCCCTTGTCAAGCCTTCAGACATTATTCTCTCATGATGTATAGTTTCACTCTCTATAAATAAATAAAAAAAGGGGCGTTTACATCCATACTCCACAAATATATATATATATATAAACACACACACACACTCACGTCTTTTTGGCCAACGCCATAGCTAAGGGATATCTCATCATTCTACAGAGTAGACTCTCAAGAACTATCTGCTAAATAGATCTGTCGAATTGAACTGCCGGCTTAGCCCGCCGAAGTGAATTGCTGACCCACCAACAATTATTCCTCGGGACCAAACAATAATCGAGGTGAAGATCAATAATACAGAGAAGACGTACGTACAAGTCATTTTTGAGTCATATGACATCCACATCACCGTCTTCTCATTGGGACATTATGGACAAACTACACATGGTACGAGATCTATGATTTTTAATTATTTTATATTCTCTCTATTTGTTCCGACAAAAGTCGGAGGGGGAGTTTTTTCTCTAGGATCTTCCTCCACATCCCTGTAGGATCAGATTTATAATCTAGACCATCATCTTCATCATCTTCATCCTATTTTTCTCAAATCTCCCCTAGGTTTTATGAGCTCATGGATAATACTAGACCATACTAAGAGAATACAACAACCTGAAATGTTAGGTGAGTGTGGAGTTTATACTCAAATCCAACAAAGGGACTTATGGTTGAAGAGAAAGAGAGAAAAAGCGATGGATTACATCAGAGAGTTTGTGATGCAATAAATTCATGAGTTAAAAGATTAAATAAGAATGATAATACAAAAAAGAGACAAGATAACTTCAGAACTCATTATAAATCTTATATAAGGATGTATACAGAATCATCAAGATCAGTGTTTTGCAGACGAGAACTGCCAAGGATAAAACAAAGAAGAGCTTCAATCCCAAGGTTGGAGAGTGAAGAAGAAGTTGGGACATATGTTCATAGGAAGAACCTCCTGACTCCTCGACAAAGGAAGGGTGGAAGGGAAGATTGAGAAAGCATAAAAAATTGAAGAATGCATTACGAAGAGAGATCACAAAAGTTGAAGCCCCACGGAAGTCCAAGATTCCATGTTTGGAACCCTATCAAGGAAGAATTTGTCCATTTGAACACAACCTTGTTTGAGTCAGCTAGTGTATGCTACATATGAACGACATCTTTTAATGTCATTTATCATTCATGAATTTGAAGAAATCCATCCTATACTGGTTTAATAACTTGTTTGTCAAATTTATCACTTTGTTCAACAAGTTCAAGCCGAAATTGAGAAGCTGACATACTTTCAAATTACATATATCCCAAGAGAAGAGAGACGATCATCCCAAGTCGAGTAATCAATTGAAAGCTGATAACAAACTTATCTCAAACAAACAAAAAAAAAAGAATTTTGTATCTTAAAGATAGTTATTCTTGAACCATACATCATATCTCATCGAGTTACATCATGGGGTTAAGCTAAGTTCTTCAAGAGTGTTGGAAGTTCACAATTTAGTTTGGTTGAACAAGATGGATGTGTGAAATTAGCAATTTCTAGAGGGTCAGGTTCCTTGCCAGATTCAGGAAGAACTCCCGCATGAGAATGGGATGTTGATGGAGTGTTCTCTATTTAGGGGCCCCTGATTTGTGGTTGATCGTGAGGTAAATGAACCCCACATATCTGTCCTAATATTAGTTGTCGAGCTCCATTTAAAAGCTGAATAATCTTATTTTGATATTCCTTCATTCTTCTCTTACAGACTTCTCGGGGAAATGAAGAGGCATCTTCACTAGCAGGGTGATGCCCATCGTGGGGAAAAATATAGAAGCTTGTCGTCCCTGCCTACAAGATTATCCTTTGGAATGATTGATATTGGAGCAATAGGTTCTTTTTTTATAACCATTACACTTCTTAGCCATTAAAAAAGTGCCCACGCTTCTATAAAGGCATGATTCTATTTATCAGAAATGATGTCAAATTGTTATGTGTCGAAAGATTTGAGGCTATAATGTATTGGTTTAAGGTTTTAGCATGCATAAAGATTCAACACATACACAAAGATAAAATAAAAATAACAATAGGAGACGCTAAGATTTTTACGTGGAAAAAACTTTAGAAGGGAAAAAAACCATGATGCCCGCTATGAAATTTTAAGTACATTGGTCCACTCTTACCCTACATTAGAGAAAATGGAATTATAAAGCTGATAATCACAGATGTACAATAGTATTTTAGCTATGATAATCATACTTGGATTATAAAAAAATATGATTCTTAGTTGCAATGGCAATAATTGGTCACAAATGCAGTAGTCGGTGGTTGCAATAGCAGTAGTTAGCTACATAGGTCGTAGCTAGATGTTGTAATAGTAATATTTGCCACAAAATTATAGATTGTTGCTATAAAGGCAGTAGTTAATCGTAAATTTTGTAATCGATAACTCCAACAGTAGTCGTAATTGAAAGTTATAATAGTAGTTGTTCGTCATAAAGACCATAGTTGATTGTTATGAAGTCAGTAGTTGGTCATAAAAGTTGTATTTGATGGTTGCAGTAGTGGCGGTTGGCCACATATGACGTGGTTTGAAGTAGTAGCACCAGTAGTTGGCCACATAAGTCGTAGTTGGTTGCGACAAAGACAATAATTGGTTATAAAGCTTGTAGTAAGTGGCTGCAATAGAGGCAGTGACCATAAAGATCGCAGTTGAAAGCTATAACAATGGTAATTGGTCATAATGTTCGTAGTTGGTTGTATGAAAGGAAGTAGTTGGTCATACATGTTGCAATCAATGGTTATAATAACGATAGATGGTCATAAAAGTCGTAGTTGGAAGATATATCAACAAAAGTTGACCACAATGGCTATAGTTAGTTGCTACAAAAACAATATATGGTCATACAGGTTGTAGTCATTGGTCTCAATAGCGGCGTTTATCTATAGAGGCCATAGTTGGAAAAAAGAATAGTTGTACTTGGCCATAATGTTGTAGTAGGGCTACAACGATAGTAACTAGTGGATGTTGGTGACCGGTGCCTTGCAAGAAGCATGTGGCGATAGAGTTTGACGGTCGACAGCGGCAAATGAGCAGTGATCGATAATGGTTGGCGGCCATAAGAATTAGTTGTTCCTCGTTGATTCTTCTAAAGAATAAGCTCTGGAATTTTAAATTTTCTTCTCTTCTCCTCCTCTCAAGTGAAGAGATGGAATCTATTTATAATTTTTTAGGAGGGGCTTTTTGATTTTTTTCATGTATAATTTATCTAATCATTTGATGGGACTATTTGTGTTGATTCCCCTTGATCATAAGTGATTTTTTAACGATTTGAGTGCCTCAATGATCTTTAAATATAATAATCTTAAGCTCGTTGGATTTCTCTCATCGAGACGCTTGATTTTTACTATAAATATATCAAATTTATATTTCGTTCAATTGATGGTTTAAAACATCCAATTTCGCTTGAACAACTTGATCTGAGCTTCAGTGGAACCAAATTAAACCAATTTTGACATCATTAGGTTTATCTTGTCGGGCTCATCAATTTGACTATATACTTGCTGAAATCTGAGCCCATGTGATCTTCGACTTGAATTTGAAAGATGCTTCATTAAAAATGCATCAAGATTATCTCCTATACTAAGCCGAACTTTTTTAAAAATTTTTGGAAAGGTAAGCCCAAAAAGAGAATACGTGTAAGCCCAACAAAAGAATATGCGTAAGCCCAAAAAAATTAATATGGGCCACTCGAATCCACAAAAGAAAAAAGTGCGCGAGCCTACTAATAATAAAAACAAAGAGGGATTTTTACACAAATACCACATTAATTTGTATATTGATATTATAAACACTAAAATTTTGTTATGAAAACTACATCATTGGTAGATAAATATCAGAGTTCATGTGGTAAATATGTAAATCCCCCCTGCATTTAAGTCAGATCAATTAATTATACAATGCAACAAAAACAGCATACCATCTGAGAAAATATTACATCAGGACTCCCAACGCAGTTTGCTTTCGGAGTCCAATAGCAGGGCACCAAGTGTCAAGTGTGTCTCACTATAATACACTGATATTAGCCGATATTAAAAATGACAGAGCCTACTTGACACAAGACGTCCCACCATTAGACTCCAAATACATCATAAGTCCTGATGTAATATTTATTTGTTCCATTTAGCCTTTTCTAAACCTAGAAAATATTAGGTGCAAATAATACAAAATTTTTAGAATTTATAAACCTGATCCATAGGATATAAGATTGCAATAGGGGCATTTACATAAATACCACCCATTTCAAACATATTTATATATCTAACACCCAAACTTTTTTTTTATACAATTACAACACACAACTCAAAATATATGCCATAAAAAATATCATTATTTTGAAATTTAAAAAGTGCGATACATTTTTTGCATGCATATGTAAAATATCATATATGTTAAAATGGAAGTTTAGATGGTAGATATGTCAATATGTAAGAACTAAGGGGTATGCATGTAAATATATCTTCTGAAGTAGCGCTCCATCTGCACATAGAGACCACAATTCTTATTTATTCATACATCCAACATTTAAATTTTCATAGTAAGTTATAAGACATTCAGATCTTTAATATCATATAAAAAATACAGCTAACACCAACTCTAATGACAGAAGACTTGTGGTATATATGAAAATCTAAAAATTCTCATTTTACAAATACATTCCATCATGACAAATGAACGTAGGAACAGATTAATGACCTCACAAACATACAAGAGCTGATCGCAGACTACAACCAAACATTTAGAAGGGCAATTACATACATAGCACTCTAAATATTGCTAATTACGAAACTAACATCATCTTTCATCCATTTTTTAAATTAAACCCCGACCGATATCTTTCATTTGAGAGATTTGCATATCTACCGCTGAACATAACAACCGCCGAAACTTCAATTTTAACCTGCAAATCATCCAGCCTATACTGAAAACATGGGAATCTGGTGGTCTATACGTCAAGATTGAAGTTTGGGTGGTTGATATGTTAATACATGAAGAATTGGGTGGTAAGTGCATAAATCCCCCTTTTCATTTTTATTTAAATCCCAATCATTTGATCAAGGCACACATAAATGCATTAGTTATATTGCAGGTAGTTTTTCTAAATAGCAATGTTTCAATTGCTATATATGTCATTAGCCCAAAATACATTCACCAACTTAGGAAAGCTATGGGTGCACTTAAATGCGGCTAGGTGATATTATAAACCAGAAAATAGCTCATTAAGAAGATGAAGGAAGATTTACATACATCCCACTTAGTTCCAATGTATTTACATACTTAGCACCAAAGCTTCAATTTTTACATATTCGTCACCTTATGTAATGCATGAAAAGGTATATTTCACCTTTTTTTAACTTAAAATAGTGGTATTTTTGATGTGCTATGAAAAATTTGGGTGATATAAATGTAAAATTCAAATTTTAGGTATGTATGCCTAAAATTAATTTTAGATAATCGGTTCCCTGTTTGATCATTCCAGCAGAGTTGGTCTTTCAGAATTATGAATCTAACATCCATAGAACCCTAAATTTCCTCATAGATTTGACTGTAACATCTTTTCTAAATGACAACTTCCATTTTTTTTTTCTCATAGTTTGTAAAATTAGATTTAAAGGAGAAATGGAAATAAAAGGAATAAGGCATATTTGTAATTTAAAGAATGTGTAAGCTAGAGATGACTAAATATATCTTGGAATCTTCTTTTTACAGTATCAGGGCTTTCTTTCCAAGTTTAATTACTACTTTTTGCAAGAATTAGAGACTTTTTGAAAACATTGAAAGTGAAGAAGAATCAAGTGATAAAAACAGTTATATATATTTATGTATCTAATTAAATGGCCAAAAAAGATGGAACCACATTCTTAAGGTTCTGAAGTATGGAACCTGGTGAAGTTTCAGCATCATGACTAATTTAGATGTTATGAAACAAGAACTTGGTTCGCATCTCATGGCTCGTCAAATTCGTAATCTTTGTACTCCGACGAAGCGCCGCTACCTCCATTCGGAACTCTGTTGATGCTGCCGGCGCTATAGTAGGGAGCATAGACGGATATCGGGCTGCCACGAGAGCTCCGGCTCTGTGCCATTGTTGTGCTCCTCGTCGTCTTTTGCCGTGCTTTTCGTCCCTAAAACGACCGGTCAAGTGATAGACTTGGCAAGAAAATACTAGACTTGACAAAAAAAAAACGCTTTTTGATAAGAAAAGAAGGAAAATTTACATGCATACCATACAATTTCTTTGTATTTACATATCTAAGACCTAAAGTTTGATATTTTTATTGAAGCATTTACATACATACCAAACAATTCTTATGTATTTACATATCTTAACACCCAAATTTTGATAGTTCCATGCACACCACTCAAATCTTTAACATCACATCAAAAATACCACTTGGCACTACCTTTCTAAAAGTGAAATACACCCTTTCCTGGATATGTTTATAACACCAAAATGTTAAAAGTGTAAATATCAAACTTTGGGTGTTAGATATGGAAATGCATAAGAATTTGGTTGCGAGCGTGTAAATTTCCCTTACATTTATGGCAACACTTTGCTTTCATGATCCACTGCATGAACAAGTGTAATTTATCTTTAAGAAGTTGGCGGTAGTGGTTTTTGTATGTGATAATAAAGATTAGTGAAATGCATGTAAATATGAAAGTTTAGGTGTAAGAAATGTAAATACATGAGAATTGAGCGGTACGTATGTAAATGCCCCAACTTCAGTTGATAAAAGGTAGATTTACATTCACACTGCTCAATTTCTATGCATTTATATGTTTAAAACCTAAACTTCAACACCTTAAATATGCATGGAAAGGTGAATTTCACTCATTAGAAGGAAGATTTACATACATACCACTTAATTCATATGTATTTACATATCCGACACGTAAACTTTAATTTTGACATATATGTCATCTTGCCTATGTATAAAAGGTGTATTTCAATTTTTAAAAGTTAAAATGGTCGTATTTTTGATGTGATATTAAAATTTTGGGTGGTATAAATCTAAAAACAAAAATTTATGCCTTATATATGTAAATACATAGGAATTGGGGGCATGTATGTAAAAGCCCCCTTTTGAAGTTAAAAATGGTGGTTTTTATCAGATATGAAAGTCTAGGTGGTATAAATGTAAAAAAGCAAAATTTAGATGTTAGGCATGTATATTCATGGGAACTAAGTGGTACGTATGTAAAAGCTTGATAAGATAATGCATGAATTTGCATAATCTGCACCTAACAGCAATGAAGCGATGAAAATCCTAAGATTCATTGAAATCCAATGAAAGAAGCAGAGGAAAGAACCCACCTTCCCCATACACTTTTCCAAGTGAGGAGCGAAACGACCTGCAACGATCGGTCTTCCGCAGTTCATGCAATCGAAGATCTCACTGGCGATAGCTGGATGTGTCTGACCGAATATATCAACCATGTTCTTGCTATTACCATCGCCGCTACTGCTAGGATCCGCCATCCTCGCTTGAGCAGACAATCGTAGCTCTTCCTCCTCGTCTTCTAGGTTACGGTCCAGACCTAGCCGGGCGATCCGGTGGCATTCCGATGCGACATCTACGATTACACAATCGAGCAAATCTCCGAACACCTTAGAAGATAGCTGCACGAGAAATCACAACAGAAACAAACCAATTTTAATGGGTTAAGTAATCCAATCCAATCATGAATGCCTTCTCATAATATAATCTCAACTTGGTATTCCATAGATAACTGACTCTTTTCTCATGATCTGAAGGTAGTTAAGTTCAGATAATCGGTTGACAATCATCATGTTCGAGGTTTACATTCAGAGCTATCCGTACTTTTTTTTTCTCGATTAGAACTAGTTTAACTTAGAATTCTGGCGCAAATTTATAATCGGAACAACAAGAAAATTAAACAGAGATTGCTAATTTCCCTTAACTGAAGTAAAAGTTTGCAAAAGAGGCCGCACCTTGAAGGGTAGGATCTCAGCAAATACTAAATGTAAGCGCTCAATGAGTCAAGATTCCTAACGAATTGTACAAAAAGGTTTCAGTGTCTATAATAGCTAATTTTCTGCTAATTTCACAAATCAGGAGCATTTAAGGAACTATGAACATCCATTTAGAAAGGAGATCAAACGCCAAACGGACATTAACTCATAAAAATCAACGCTACGTTACAATCAGCTGATCTGATGAGAAAGAAGAGAGCACACCTGTGATCGAGGAGACGCGCCGCCATCGTCGGAAACCGACATTTTGAAATCCGAGCCGAGAACCCACCAGCAGTCGAAACTGCAATCTTCCTATAAAAAACAATTCGCATCTAATCAAACCTAACGAAAACAAGAAAGGCAAACCAAACACAAGCCATCTGTAATGAGATCAATACCAGAACAAGTATTGTAAGAACCTGGATCAAATTGTCGAATAAGTCTTTGGGTCGCAAATCTTCTTGGTTAATTCGTAAGAGGGGAATAATCGAGAGAGGAGGGGGTCGATTCCGCGGAGAAAACGGGGCTAGGGTTTACAGGGATTGAGTGAGGAGCGAGATAGGAGGAGGGGCGGAGGCCGGGAGATTTTGTGGGTTAGCGGGGAGGAGACAGCCGAGTTGTTTCCGCTTTTATCACCGATTGGGAAGAGAAACTGAAGGAGGAGTATTTGAGCTCGGGAAAGGAAAGGGGAGCTATGCATTTCCGTGTGAGAGGGTTTAATTATGGCCGAATAAGTAGTTCTCAAATAACAATTGGAAGATTTACATAAATACCAATTAAGAACTATGTACTTATATGACTAATATTTAAATTTAAATTTTTTCATCCATGTCACCTTTTTCATGAAAGGCACAATTTACTATTTTGTTAAAGTTAAAATGTGGTACTTTTATGTGAAAATTGAGCTTCCAAGTGAGTCCATCAAATTCGCCCAACAATTAATCCCCGGGATTAATTATTCGTCAAAGTCTAAATCATCATTAAAGAACGAACATATGCCTCTGTCTGTTATGAGCTATCTGACACCCACGTCAAGTCCTCTTTGTGGATAGGCCTCGTACAGTATAGATATTACTTTTTTTTTTTTCTCTTTGTAATCCTACGAAGGTGGGGGAGCCTTGGGGAGTTATAGGGGCACTCTCACACCTCTAAGGGGATCTTTGGATCCTCACTTTCCATCTCTTTCAAAAAAAGTAGAAGTTGAAGCTTGAAGAGCACGGATCCATACGAGACCTGATGTTCTAAAACAATTCAACATACTGAAATGTGCAGTTAGTGTAAAATGCAAGTCAAATCTTGCAAGAAGAGATTAAGTGGGAGGGAGAATAAAGAACACCAATGGATTGCATCTGAGGGTTTGTAATGCACCAGATCAATAAGCTAAAAGTGCACATAAAAAAGATGATGCAAGAAGTAAGGCCAAAAACCTCCAAGACTTGCTTGAGAACCTGTGTCAGGCTGCACACAAAGTCACTAGGATCAATGGTTCCCAAGCGAGAGCTAACAAAGCCGAGACCAAGAGAGTTTTTTCCTCGAGGCTAGAGGGAGAAGATTATGAGTTGTATGTTACAAGAGAAGAACTTCTTGACTCTTAAAATGAGGAAGTAAATGAAAGGAGACCAAAGAAGAGAAAGCAAAATCAAATAGAGGATGCTTTTTCAAGAGAAATAACATAAGCTGAAGCACAACAAAATTTAAGATTCTAGTCATACAAAGGGAGACAGATCTAACTGATCATTGAGCTTCTTTTAAGTTAGCTATATGCTTGTTACGTGTAAATGACACCTTGAAGTGTCACTACTTATTCTTTATGACCTTGAAGAAATCAATTATATGTTGGTTCAACAATTTACCAAATGAGGGCCATGACCACTTTGATCTAAATATTTATTTAATTATTAAAAAGTATTGAAATTCTTGATATAAACCTAACAAAATGTTTATTAGATTCTAATCTTATTTAAAATTATTTGAAGGCAAGTAATATTTAAGTTTGGGATATTTGATGTGTATCAATTCTGCATGTTATTTTTATGATATTTAAAACTTTATTTATGTATTTGTTATGTTTTTTTATAGTATTTGTGATTGGATAGATAGTGAACAAATGGTTAGGCAATTTGTGGAGTTTAGAAGATGAAACAGACCCAAATTTAGCTAATTGGGTTGAATTGAGTTGATTGGATGCCCAAACACCAGTCTTGAGCGCCTAGATAGCCAATCATGGGCACCTAGGCACTGGAAGCCAAAGACAGTTGTCTAGAGGCCAGTTATGGGTGTCTAGACGCCCAAAACAATGAAACAGACGCCTAGGAACAATTTCAATTCAGATGTCTCCATTCGCATTATTTCACATCAAAGGACATAAATTTTTTTAGATATGAAGCATTGAAGGAGGAGAGTGGATTGAAGACCAACAACATGAGGGAGAATAAGCAATCGAAGCATCTTAAATAAGGAATACATAAGAGTGTTGTGAGTGTGAGTGAATGTTCTCCTAAGTGAGAACGAGTATAAGTGTGCGTGTTTATCCATTTATGTGTTCAAAATGGTGTAAAACTCGGGAATTTCATTATAAGTTTGTATGAATTGGTGGAGAATGTAGGTGAGATTGTTCTAACTTTATTAAACTTTGATTTACACTGAAATCTATGTTGTATTCAATTGTACTTATATCTCCTTTACATAAACTTTTATGCAAATTTGTGAAATATATATTATGAGATTACGTGTAATTTATTTCTAAGTTAATAGTTTAACATTCTGCTTGTAATTTCACCTGAATTAGCAACTTTGGATTTTTGTTAGGTTGGTGCAATCATGTTGGGAAAGTTGCAACACTGAGATTTTTACATGTTTAAACGAACTTTAGTTGTAATATGAAACTCTTATGCTCCTTATGACCTTGGAAGAGCAACACAGTGTTATTGTTTTTAGTTGTTAAATTTGCATATGACCAATTCAAGGGAGGCTTTCTATCACTTGTTCAAACTCAAAGCTATATTATAGGTTTACTTTTTACAAAAATTAAAAATAGTAAATTTAAAAATACTCAAATAATTAAAAATTTCGACCAAGACTTAAAACCAGCATATTAGAGCTTTTCCTTATCTGGAAAGTTAACTCATTATTTTCCTTATCTGGAAAGTTAACTATCTGGAAAGTTAACTCATTATTTCTATGATCGACACACATACTTACTTGATTGTGGGCGTTTCACAACATTTCTGTCATATTTCAACAAAGACTTAAAACCAGCAGATTAGAGTTTTTCCTTATCTGGAAAGTTAACTCATTATTTCTATGATCGACACACATACTTACTTGGTTGTTGGCGTTTCACAACATTTCTGTCATATAAACACCTAAACTTTGATATTTACATGCCTATCACTCAAATCATTAACTCAATAAACAATGCAAATAATACTAACTTTTTTAAATTGAAATACTTTTTTCATGCCTAGACATATAACAACAAAATATTATAAATGTAACTATCAAACTTTAGATATTTGATATGTAAATACATTAGAATTGTAAGATATGTATGTAAATTTCTCAGATAAAAAAAAGTGGCATCTAAATATTATTATTGTTAATATTTTTACCACCCAAATATTTCAAATCAAATAAAAAATATCACTATATTAATTTAAAAAAATAATAATAAAATACACCTTTTCATGAATATATAACGTAGTATATATTTGTAATAATTGAAGTTTATCATGTTAGATTTGTGAATATATCAGATTTATAAATATATAAGATTTGTATGTAATCTTCCATAAAAATTATTAAATGCTCTCAAATATCACTAATTTTGAAAATATTTACATGATTGAAATTGTAGGCATTGAATTACTTCTATACATGAAAAATGTTATGCAATATTTACATAATTTCCTTAATAAACTCTTGTTCCAAATTGTAGGCCTCATAGTTTATCTCGTATTATCTCTCACATAGAATATAGTATGCTAGCTCATCTCACACTAGATCTTACCGAATGCCAAATTGACACTCATTATCATTATGTTATCATTAACTCTACTTTTGACCCCACTACTCCTAACTTTGGAACTTTATAGTCTTAAAGCCTTATCCACATCTAAACTAGGACCTAAACCCGACCTAAGCCTAACATGACTACTCCAAGGAAAGCTATGTTCTAGGTAGCTTATATAACTTTGAGTATTCATATCCTAAGCGATGAATGGATTCCATTATGTATACCTACCTTAAATCTTAACCTAAACTGTTGTTTAGGTTAAGAAAACAATGAACACCACTAGCTTAGTCTTTTTTATAATAATGTAGTTTAAGTCCTAACGTGACCTTCTATATGAGCTTATACAACCTAATTATAAGCCCAAATCCATATATTAAGACCTACTTATGAGCTAAATTAACCAAACTAAACATTTAATCATATTATTTTAAAACCCTATTATAAACCTCGTAATGATCCAAATCGCCTATCAAAATATCATCCTAAATCAAACTCACCTAAAAGGACCTTCTCATGTGATAAGTTGACCATAAAAAATCTCATTAAAGTTTGCCCAAATTCATAATTCTAACCTTCCTAAGAACATATTTTGCACCTATAGAAGTCTAATAAACTTGGCTACACACTGCCTTATGTCTTTTCATTAACCTAATTGACTTAGGTTAGAGCCTTACTAACCATAACTTAGAGCATAATCTAAAGCCAAAACAAACAACACAAAGGACTCACATTTGTATAATAGAACAACAACCGCCACACCCTCTCAAAGTCAACCTATTAAAAGGACATTTAGTGGACCAAGGTTAAGTTAACTTGAATCATGGGTAGATTTAAGTCAATTTCTGGTCAATAAATCATTTAAATTAATAGTAAACCTAACTTGAGGCCATCATACCCAACATAATATTTAAGTTTGACCAACTTTACTCTATCCCTTTACTCTCAATTAATTCAATAACAAATAATCGCCTAACAAAAGATATCTCTTAAAACTCTCTTAACAGCCCTTTTGCTCCCAAATATTGTTATCAATTAGATCATGTTTTGATGGAACAAAATGCAGAATTAATATTTTTTTTTATTTTTCTACAATTTAATATTTATGTAGAACCATCATTTATCTTTGTACTTCCTCTTCTTCTCTCAAGCTAGGGCTTCCTTCACCTCTCTCTCTCTCTCTCTCTTATGATAACTCTCCTTAAGGCTCCCATCATTGCAACAATTTAGGAGAATGGTTCCTATATTTATAAGCTTCTAAATCAACAAAACTGCCTTTCTATTAATTTTCACTCTAATAACATCATTTCTAATATCAAGCTACTTATGCCAACTCTAACTAAATGAGAAACTTACATCAAAAAGCTATGCAGAATCGCACGCAAATTCTTATTAGTTCAAAGTAAATGTGATGGGTAGATGTTTCATACATGACAAGAACGAACATCTTTTACAAAGATGCCTGAAACAATAACTAAAAGACGCATGCAACAATTTTTATGCGAATATTTGAATATTTTCTTTTCTTTAATCCAACTTTCACCTTTGCAAGCACAAGTTCCATCAATCATCAAAATTCTCCCTCTTAAGAATAAAAAAAAACACTACAAATTATAAGATTTTCAATTTTAGAGCCACCATGTATTAACATATCTGACACCTAAACATTCATATTTGAATGCATAAGTTTATGACACCAAAGATGTTACATGTAAATACCAAACTTTGAATGTTCGATATGGCCATCTGTATGCAAATTTCCCTAATCTTTATAACTATATATTTCTCTCAGTTCATATGAATTCAATAATAACAATAAAAAATAAAATGGACAAGGAATTCTATCCTGTATTCCAAAGTAATCCTATGATTCCGAGTAACAGTACTTGGTAACTACACAGACACACACACACACAAGTAAATGAACTCGTTACAAGCAGATTAAAAAATTAATAATAAAATACATTTAGAATAATCATCTCTGCAACCACCACAATTGGTTACTGCAACTCTACAGAAGTTGGTGGAAATCAGCACCTTACAAGGAATTTGTAGCCTGGAATGATCAGCTGGATAGTTGGAACCGACCGGTTGGCTTCTTCTTCCTCCAGCCCTGAAAGTAACAAGCAACAGAAAACTAAGCCACTTTACCCCATAACCATGTTTTTAAAAGATGGACCACGAACCAGACACGATTGGCGGTTCAACGATGAATTGTTCATTCAACTGGTTCGGTTCAAGCTAAAAACTATTTCCGTGTAACCGGAAATTGGCGAACAGATTTAGTTTTCGAACAACTGGATGTTTCTGATATTGTTCAATTTTAAACTTTTGATCGATCACATAGCTAGAAATAAGATATTTAAAATAAAATTGTAGAAAACATCATGTCTCAAAATATTATTCATAAGTGAAGTGTATTAAAAAAGAGATATTTGCATGCATAGCACACAATTCCTACGAATTTACATATCTCACACCTAAACCTTCATATTTTTACACAAACACTCAAATCGTTAATATGACAACTCAAAATAGTAAAACTGGCAGCTTTTAAAATTGGAATACACACTTTCATGCATAGGATCAAAATACTAAAGTGCTTGTGTAAAAATATTAAAGTTTAGGTGTCAGGTATGACAATACATAAAAACTGTGAGCTAGCTATGTAAATTCCCTAAATTAAATTATTATTTATAGAATTGACAAAAATATAATTAATATATTATTTAAAATATGTTGAAATAATTTTAATATTTATTATGTCATCTGATTCAACCTTCAGTTCAATCTATGTTGAACCATTGAATGTTGAACATCTCCTTCCGGTTCAATGACTGGTAAAATTTTCACAACCTTACTAAATACAGGGTGAGAATTCAGATTATGTTCATATATCTTACAAATGTCAGGTAGTATAGGAAAGTGATGGCAGCCAACACAACAAAGGCGTAGGGGAAGATATTGTACCTGCAAACAATTTATGTAATAAAATTATTGAAAAGGAGAAATTTGTGATTTGTGGGGAAGGTGTATTTTAATCCCAACTCACTTGTAAAGATATTTGATTCCACGAAGAGATTGCAGAGTATGGCCGAATATTTCCTGAGCGGCGGTTGCTCGAGCATAGGAAGAGAATGCGGTGGCGCAGAACTGGATCACACTGCAGCAGAATAGTTTTATCATTTTACTAATCAAATGCTAACATGAATACAAGGGAGCAAAAGTTATAAGCATAAATTGCTGACATATACTGTGAGATATTATCCCTATTTGGATGAGAATGATTTAAACTGCTTGTATTTCAACACAGAAGTGAAAAGAAGAAGGTTTGAAAACACTTGTAATATTTATTTCAAAACAAAAAACTTGCAGAACCGGACAATAAAACCTTTATCCACGTAGGGTAAGTTTATCTTACTTAATGAAGGGGAAGCCACAATAGATTATGAATTTCATCAAACAAAATGAATTACATGTTGTTATGTATTCACTTTTCATTGGGAAAATTTACATGCATACCACACAATTGTTATGTATTTAGATATCTAGCACCTAAACATTCATATTTTTCATACACATCATTCAAATTTTCATATGTGTTGTGTAAATATGAAATTTTATATATTAGTTAGGTAAATACATGAGAATTGTGTGGTATGCATGTGAAAGTGGTGATGTTATAAAAAGACTTACTACATTCCAATAGTTTATCCCTTCAAGTGTTAAGAAAGATGCAATATATATATATATATATATAATTAACACATAACTTAAGTTTCAGGAATATTTCTAAAGAAAAAAAAGAATCATCATACTCCGGCTCATATTATTCTTTAGGAATATTACTAGATTATTCAGTCTTAATTTGTTAACACACATTCTCTTAAAAGGGCGCGTATTTTCTGTCCGACCACCTGACGTACTTACCTCTACGTGCGGTGTAGATTATTCTTGAGTTATTTCTGGGTTATTTCTTGAAATAACCCAAAAATAAAGATCAGGGGATTTTTTTGGGTTATTTTAGGATTATTGAAAATAACCTAGAAATAACATGAAGATAACTCAAGAATATCTGCACCGCATGTAGAGCTACGTCAGGAGTCTGCACAGAAAATTTTTTGCTTACAAGGCCAGTTCTTTTTTTCGTATTGTATTAACTTGAATAAATTTGTCCTATATTATATTTCTTTCTCTCCTCCGTCCATTTAATAAATAAAAGATTTGCATGAATACCACTAAATTTTTATGTATTTACATATTTAAATCCTATTTATGCATGAAAATCTATCACTTTTTAAAAATTAAAATGATGATATTTCTATACGATATGAAGGATTTCAATCATATAAATGTAAAAAAAAATTATTATTAGTATAAATCTAAATAAATTAATACCTTAAAAAATAAAAAAAAATTACATATGAATGAAAATTTTCATGTATTTTCCTATTTAACATCTAAACTTCAATTTTTACACACATAAATAAATTACTATCTTAAAAGAAATATCAAATAGTCAAACAAACATTTTCCAGGATGACATATACGTTCAAAAGCGAAAAAATAGTGTCAAAACTAGTGTCTGGAAGCCGCCCAATTTTTCTGTGCGGACTTCTGATGTAGATCTACGTGCCGTGATTTTTCTGTGCGGACTTCTGACGTAGATCTACGTGCCGTGAAGGCTATTTCTGGGTTATTTTCAAGTTACTTCTGGGTTATTTTTTTTTTTTTCCGGCATTTCCGCTTTATTCTAAATAACCCAGAAATAACCTGCTGTCTTTATTTTTTGGTTATTTGTGGGTTATTTCGTTATTTCGGGATTATTGAAAATAACTCAGAAATAACATACTCATGAATAACTTCCGCCGCATCTAGAGCTATGTCAGGAGTCCGGACAGAAAATGCGCTCTTGGAAGCCAGCCCGTCGATGAGATGTATGACGGCGTGACAGCCGGTGATTGGCCGTCCGGACGTGCGGTATCCAAACATAATATTTTCTCTTAAAAGAGACCGAAGACTGTGTGGCCAAAAAGTTGATCAAACACACCAGCTGAGGTGAACTACTCTAACTAATCCGGACTTTCCATAACGTCAGAAGCCGGATTTGACGAACATATATAGCTTCAAATCTGCTGTCTTCATCTTTTTCTGGACCTGTTTTTCCCTCCTAACCCCATCAGCTTGCAAGCAACTCATGGCGATAACTTCATTTGCATGGCAGAAATGGTAGTTGAGTAGGTGAAGCTTTACTTCAAACCGTACGTTTCCATGAATCATTTGTGATTATGTTATTAGATTGATGTAGATTGATGTAGATATGGGGGAGTTTCAGTCAAATCACCAACTCTGATATGTGTTTATTTGGATAGGTTGAGATATCAGAATCAAAGTTGGCTTAATATAGTAATGTTGATGACCACTTAAGATTTAAACTTCTAAATTAATTGAAAAAATCGGCATTAGTATTGACTCTTCAGCTCTTTTACTTTTGATGTGTTGTCAAAGTATTCGTTTGATTGAGAACTGATCTTGATGCATATTGGATTGGATGGTTTTTGGAGCCTTATACACAGATATTGAATTGTGGGACCGGGTTCGTTTCTCGAAATGAGTGAAATGCCGATCACCAAACAGGTCGAACCGAGCCCTTCTTTTACGATATAGTTTTCACCGTACCTGCTTGCTGAAGTGATCAGATTGCTCACGATTATCCGAATTGGCCAGACACAACCAGAAATAGCGTTCAATCGTCAATAAATGTATTTAACAATTTTCAAGGTTAAATCCTCTGTAGGTATTTTTCTGAGAAAAGGGGAGGGGGGAGGGAATTCATCAGCCTCCTTCTAAATTTTTCTTCTGCTTTCGTTCTCATATGGAAGGTATTCAAGATTTTATATTGGATTGTGTGGTATCACAAACAATAAGGTATCTCGCGTCCCAAAAAGAATCAACAAAGAGTAAAATGCAAAACCAATAACCTAAGAAATGATCTGACTAGAGCCCAAATGAGTCTATATTTAACACTGGAAGCATACAAAGAAATTTTGAGATATTGACCGAAGAACTAAATGATATCCATATCTTACATGCATATAGTTAGACCAAATATTAATCAAACAAATCTAACAAGTTTAAGATTGTCTAATTCTGAGAACATTAAAACACTCAAATATTGAAACAAAATATCTCACAAT